GAACTGCCCCCCCTTTTTTTTTGCAGCGTACATTGCCCTATTAGCAAAAAGAAACCTGTCACATCACAGCTCAGCTGGTGGCAAATGAGTTTCTTGCTGCTACAGGACAGCAGATCATCCAAAAAACTGTAGCCATTTGGGAAACTGATCACTATATGCACATACAGAGTTGCCAACTCTCCCGATTTTCGACCACTCTCCCGCCAACCCGATTTACAATATATTTCTCCCGACTTTTTCTTATTCCTAAAATTTCTCACGATTGTTATGCAACTTGGCTTAATACTTTGTTATATGAATAAAAAAAATAATGCTTTTGGACGTCTGAAAGCAATTGAATTTTCTTTACATTATATCTAAAACAAAACCTTGCAAATCAGATAGCTTCTGCTTTGTGAGTGAGAGCATTATATGCATCCAGAAATGTCATTCTCCAGTTCTCCAATGGGCTTTGAGCTCCACTGTGTGTCAGCTGGCATATATTAGCCAATGAGAACAAAGCAAGTTGTTATTTGGACATTCTTTAGTTATTTCGTTCATTTTGTTCTGAGTTGTGGGAGTACACATGCCTTAGGGAAATAGTTTTAGAAATTATCATCTTTTGTTACGTCTGCAAGAAAGGTGAAATACTCGTGTACGTTCCAAAAATCATACACAGTTGACTTTCCTTCCATTATTTCCTCAAGGAAATGTAATAAATTTGCGATGTGTACCGCCTGTTGTTGCGATTTTTCAATTTCGCATGGTGGAAGGGTGGATGTTCTCAAAAATGTGCGTACACAAAAACACAAGGATAACATGAGTTGTTTTTAAAAAAACGAAAAATTAAATTTTTCTTCGGAAACAAAGGACCAAAAAGTTATTAATGCAGAATGTCTGTTCTCTGCCTTTTTACTGGAGCACAACCTGCCACTGAATGCATCGAATCACGCTGCAGCTTTATTTAGAAAAATGTTTCCCGATAGTGAAATCGCTAAGAAATACTCAAGGTGCAAGAATCAAAACAGGTGCAATTGTTAAAGAAATGGGTTTGAAAAATAAATCTTCAGTTATTGATTGCATTAAAACAGCTCCGTTCTGTCTCTCTACGGATGGAAGCAATAATACCGATTCAGAAGTGTATCCAATTGTTCCGTTTTTTGATCCAAAGTCTTCAGAAATTGAGTGTAGTTTACTTTATGTTCCCACTTTAGAAGGACATTTGACAGGCTTTAATATAGCACAGCTAATTATTAAAACTTTAAAAGAAAATGCAGTCCCTGTGGATAATTGCTTAGCACTTGGGGCCGATGATGCACCAGTAATGATAGGCTTGAAGACTGGTGTTGCAGGTATCTTAAGAAAGGAAAATTCAGATTTTCAAATTATGAGGTGCACCTGTCACCTCTTAAATTTAGCAGCTGAAAAGGGGGCAGCTTCTTTAGCAATGTGGATGAACATATTGTTGATATTTATTATTATCTTGAAAGGAGTTCTAAAAGGAAGGAAAAATTGGAACAGTTCCACAGCTGCATAACAGCAGTTTACAATTAGAAAACTTGTATGAAGTTATAAAATCAGCTAGGATTGACACCCAGTGGAGTTTAATTGGGAAACTGAAAGGTGCTGATGGAATTTTAAAATATAGTGAACTGTCTAGAATTGTGTTGGCCATCTTGACAGTTCCCCATAGTAATGCAGAGTGTGAGAGGATTCTCAGTGTTGTTGCAAAAATGAGGACTAAATTTAGATCTAATATTAGTGATGACACATTAGGAAAACTTATATTAGCGAAAGCAGGCCTACGTGGCAATTGCTGTGAACAAAATTATGAAGTTTCTTTCTTAAAGAAAGCAAAATCTGCCACTGTTTATAACATTTGTATGAAAACTGATTAAAGAGTCTTTTTTTTTCCTTAAACGATGCAAGTAATAAAAATGTTTTTTTATGTGTAAGGTATTTTTGTGTTGCTTGCATTTAAGAATTAATTACTATTTAAAGTTAATTCATTATTAAAAATTATATTTTTATCATTTAAAAAGTCTTTTTAACATTGTGAAAAATCTCCTGATTTCTTAAAAAAATCTCCTGATTTTTGAGTGTCATAGGTTGGCAAGTATGCCCATAGATCTATTATATGTGTCCCATTGTTTAAACAGCACCATACTGCCCTCTGCAGTGGTATCATCAGCATTGCAATTGGACTGAGCTTACATAATGTTCTCAGATAAGAATAGCTTCAGTTTATCATCAGAGACCAATATCTGAAATGCAATGTATTATGGTATGAATGGCATGGTCAATTGACTGCATGCCTCTACATTGCTTGCAACTGGGGCTATGACCAACCAGCGGTGCATTGATGTAGTTTTACTGCCTTATGTTTCACTTTTCCATGATGCTTTTGGTGATAAATCTGATACTACTGTAGCATACACACTACATTATGTGGAATGTTTTCTATATTTATTCGTGAATGGCTTAAAATCTCTTCCAAGACTGGTGGATTGACTACCAATCTTCTTCAGAATCATCTGAATCCAGGCTTTAATCAGAACTGCTTGAAATTCTTTTTCGGAAAGAAAAGTTCTAGGATGTCATATAATTTTGTCGTCACTGGAGTAATCATTGGTAAGTTTGTTCTCACAAGGATAATTCGACAAACTATCTCTACAAAATTCTTTATCATCACATTCTGCTTTGAAAAAAATCACTAATTATTAATTGTAAAAATTCCATCAATATAAATAATCTACTGATAATTCGTGGAAAATGAGTTGTGTCGTCTCTTGCTCTTCAATAACAGCTTACACAAAGCGAGTTTAGTTGTTTCTCACACTTAATAACAATATGCACAAACTGAGTTTAGTTTTTTTTCCTGCATAAGATATTAATGAAGAAAGAAATTGTAGGCAAAGTGTGCATATTGTTTAAGAAACAATTTGTTAATTTAACACATTGCTTGTTTATTGTAATGAAGTTCATATGTGATTTTTTATCTTGTTCTTCAAAATATTCAATGCATTTTTCTTTGAGTTCTTAATTTCTAGAGCAGTCTGTCTTCGAGCACTAAATGTAGTCATTCATCACTTTAAAATTCTAGTATTGCTAATATTCTTTTCATTCAGTGACATTTTTGAAATATTTTTACTTGCATTTCAGTAATGTAATCAAAGTGTTCAGGAACTGTAAAAAGGTGAGAGTGCAGAAAATGAGTGTAGAGGCTTTTATTATAACTTAATTGTACTCATTAGTGCAAATGCATATGTGCATACATGTGTGCCACACCCATCCACGGATATATAGATGTGTGTATATAAGTGAGTAAATACAAAGTAAAAGACAGTTTAAAACCTAATCCAGTTGCACACTGATAGCAACAGCAAATGGTGGTAGTATTGCAAAATATTTAACAAAAGAAAAAAAAAAAAAAAAAAAAAATACACGTTTAAAATTCATCCCATGTTCAATTCAGAATAAAGCAAATGCAAAAACCAAAAAACAAATGCACAGTGGCAAACTGCAAGAAATATCTCTCATATATATAAAAAAATAATAATTAGATTTGAAAGTTTTTTGCTAGTTTAGGCTTTATGTTGTTACTTTTTTTAACCTGGCCTGTATTTTTTCAAAATTTGCATATAGTTTTGTTATTTCCAATTTTGGATAATATTTTTTTTTTCTTTGAAGTATTGGATTATTATTTTTGCATGTTTTGTTTTGGGGCTCAATCTGCTCAAAATATTTTTTTGAATTTGTCTATTATTTTGCAATTTTTTAAAATTTGTTTATGTTTAGTCCAAAGGGGCTTTGTTTTTGTTTTGCGATTTTGCATTGAATCACTATAAATGTCCGTTTCACTTTTCAAACTGTTGCCACCAAATGTTAGAGTCCTGTATTATATTTGAAGAAATTAAATAATGAAAAATCTGCATAAATGCATATATATTTCTCGCATTGTGATAAAACAACAGTACATAGAGCCATCAAATTTTGAATGACGTAATCCTATTGCAAATATGGGCACGTGGAAGCCAAAATTTGAAAGCGAGCAATGGCAACAATCTATGGAGGGGGGGGGGGACCTTTTTATCTCCAGCACATGGAACTGTGTATAGGAAATTCTAAAGATATACTCATTTTAAAATTATTTTGCAACATTGCTATTGAACTGAAATTTATGGTTTAAGTGCGAAGAAAGTTGGAAGATTAAGTTAGAAGAAGATTTATCGTTAAGTGAGAGTCAGATTTTTTTTTTTTTTTTTTTTTTTTTTTTGCTATAATTTTACATTTTTTACACTTCTTACTGTAGCCTGTAGGTAGAACTATAAAGTCTAGGAATGGAGAATATAAACATATTACAAAAAGAAGCAGGTCTGCCATACATGTGATTTTTTTCCTGCATGTCGCTTTCAAACACCAATTGATTTACGTTAATTTATTTGTATTAGCAATGGCCAGGCTCACACTTTAGGCCATTGAGCGATTATATGTGAGAGCAGGACCAGAACATTTTGCTGCTTGGTGCAATCTCTGCAGGTCCTAAATTCAGCTGGGTAACTCTCTAAATTCTAAAAATTTTGCCACACCTAAATTACATCACCCAGTGTCTCTCTTAAATTCTAAAACTTCTGCTATCTGTAATTTTTGCTGCTTGATGCTCCTCTAAATTATAACTTTTGTCACCTTATGTGCCTGCATTTGTTAAATCTGCTCTGGCACTGACCCCATAGTAGTTTAGCAATTTTCTGCCTGACTTAAACAATAAAGTGAATCCTCGATGTTGCTGTGTCTACATGTCATTTTACTAGATTTAAACTGATGATCTAAAATCTGGAAATTTCTGAAATCCAGAAATGCTGAAGTCCTGAGATTTTGGACCTCAGACTTTGTACTAGAAAATGATTACAGGTGAAATATGATTGGCTATTAGATCAAATCTCATGAGGCATAACAGTGCTACTTTCTTCTACAAAGTATATATGTAAGTTTTCTTTTATATACTCTATTTTTTAGTAATTAATAATTTTTTTTCTCAATATTTAGGTGTTGTTGACAGTGAAGATATTCCTCTCAATCTAAGTAGAGAACTTCTGCAAGATAGCGCTTTGATCAGGTTTGAAATTTTCTAAGAGCAAAATATCAGAATTAATTTTTTTTGTCAATGAATAATTAACAATTTTTTTTGTAAAACATTTTAAAAATATTAACTTATTTCTTTTCTTCTTTCTTTGCAGAAAAATTTCAACTATGATTACGAATAAACTGTTGCGCTTTCTTCTTGAACAAATGAAGAAAGAACCTGAAAAATATAAAAAATTTCATGATGATTACAGTATTTTTTTAAAAGAAGGCATTTTATCTATTGCTGATCAAGTACAGAAAGTATGTCTTATTTTTAATAATATATAATTTTAAATTCAATTGCTTTTTTCTCTTGTTAACTATCTAGTTAGAATTATTAAAACGTAAAAGAAAATTTGTGCATGCAATATGTTATTAATCAGTTTAATTGCATACTGTTGTTCCTAATTATTATTTGAATAAAAACGGAAAATTGAGCTTTCTTCCATTCCTTAAGAAGAGTATTTAAAATATTTGTTATATCGTACCAATTCTGCTTTTCATTCTGATGATTATTAAAATTTCTCTGCTTTTCCATAAGATTTGTGTTTTATTTGTATTTTTTGTGTATTGAAAAAAAAAGATAAGTTTTTCCATAAATTCTTGATGTCTTTATTGAAAAATAGGATTAAACTAAATTTCCCACCTTTGACCATAATACCATAGTAATATCATAGTTTTTTTAAATGACAGATTGTGAATAGAACTCTAGACAGGGTGAATGACTAAAAGTATCTGGTATCTGGGAAATTTCGCATTGAAAACTAGCCATACTGCAGTAGGAGGAATAAATAAATATAACGATATAGGGTACTTATTGTTATCTTGTTGATCATGAAAGTTGGTGTAGATCGTGCCAAAGTTGTACCAATCATTCCTGCAGAATTCGAAAGGAAGTGATGTGTATTTATTTAATAAACAATCAATTATCAACCCGCTTTATTTTGCATTTTGTAAAAGGGCTTTCATATATTTTTACTATTTTGTAAAGCCCTCCAATTTTACTGGAAGTTCTGTTTAGAATGCTATGTGTACAAACTTTCCACAGATAATTGTTCTTATCTTATTGGCCATTTTTAGCTGACTACATTGTGCCCATTAATATGTAGTTTTTTTACTGATAGAATTCTAAAACTCTGAAAATTATCTACTGTTTACTGTTCAATCAGTAGCATGTTCCAAATTTTAATAATTTTTTTTAATGCAAGAAAAATTATTGCAGCATTTTTATTTATGAAAGCAAAAGGTTGTTTATCAAGAATCAATCAGGTCACCCCCCCCCAATGTTACATCAGATGTTATGAGTGTATTGTTACTCATGCTTATCCATAATTGGTTCTAAATTTGAGCAGCTTGGCAACAGTTTCAAAGCCAGTGGGATAATACATAAAAACCTGAAGGATAATTTCTCAGGAAATTTAAGTTAATTACAGAGCTTGTAATTTTTCATAAATTTTGTGATGTGTGGAAGACTTACCATATTAAAATTTAAAATGGAATATTTCTCATTGTGCATTAGCCATTGGTACATTTTGCATTATGCTTTAGTACATTAAGTATATTTTAATTTTCATATCTAATTTGGGTGTTTGTGTTATTAATTTAAGTTTTTATTTAGGAGGATATAGCTAAGTTATTACTTTTTGAATCCTCTTTGGAACCACCGGAGAAGAAAATTAGCTTAGCTGAATATGCTAGTAGAATGAAAGAAGGTCAGAAAGATATCTACTTCTTAGCTGCACCTAGGTACATGGAGTTTCAATTTTGTAACATTATTTTTTATTTATTTATTTGATAAAAACTGATGTTAGAATTTTAGTGTGTTCAAATTTATTTTTAGGTTATTATTTTACATTTTAGGCATGGCCCCTTAAATTGCAAGTTAAGTAGTTCTGTAGAGTTTCCCACTTATATCTTGTTAATGTCAAGGAATCTAGTGAACTGCGAAGCAAATAATTCCTTAAGTCCTAGAACAGAAATGTAAACTCAGGGTTAATTACCCTTTATTTACTCCAAATTAAAGATTAACAATCGGCCCCTTTCTCAGAGCGTACAGCAAAGCCTCCACTTTGGCTTAAAATGTAAGAAATAAGAACTAACTAATGACTAATTTAAGAGATTTAGCTGAAGCTAACACAATTCTAAACTAGTTGGCCCATAATATTGAATTAGCGAACTATCAGATGGCATGTAATATGGCCGAGCACAATAGCAGCTTAGAGATGTAGCCCGAAGACAAACGCACGCTACTCAGGAATCCTAATTCTCTCTGGCTAAGTCAGTTGAACTTGACTTCAATTGACTACTATTTTCCTTCTCATTTGCATTTAACGTGATTCTAAAAACTCATCTGGTAGGGAGTTGTAAGCTGAAACTAGGAAGGATAGAAAAGGAGCATGAACTTAACTGCTATAATACCTTACAGTTCACCCTGCAAGTCTGTGAAGATTATTTTTACACCCTGCAAGTCTTTGATTTTTTTTTTTTTTTTTTTTTTTTTTTTTTTGTAATATGCTCTGCAAATCTGTGAAGATTATTTTTATGCCTTTTAGAATAAATACAATAATGTAAAATTCAAATTTAGTTTTGTGATGTAGACTATTTTTTTTATTCTGGAGGTGTAGTTCAAGTAGATTAATTCTAATATTCTATATACTTACAAATTATTTTAAATCATTAGTATCAACTCAAGTGAAATACTATTTAAAAAAATATATTAAATAATAATGGTGTTTTCCTGCTGATGGGGCACTTGTTGCCAAATATGATGGTTTGTTAATATGGCATCCTGAATAGCTGTGCAATGCTTAATATGCACAATGCCAAGGCTGTTTAATTTGTACAGTTCTCTAATTTTTCTAAAGTAAAAACAGAGCACTGTGCACATGGAGAGAAAAACAGTTTTTTAAGCGAAAACTTGTCACTGTATACCTGAGAAAACAAATGTTTTTTCTATGTGTACATGGATCTGTTTTTATGTAAAAAACAAAATTGCACAAATTTAGCAAAATGTACAGCTTTGATATTAGGTGCAATAAACATTGCATCTATTATATAATAGTTTACTGTTATTGCAAGTTCATTTGCTTCACGAAACTGTGTGTTATTAGGATGGCTACCATCTAGTTACATCATCATCTAGATTGTACACCAGAAATTATGTTTCACACTAAGTGGCTTCGTATTAACAGAAAAGTACTTTAATAATAAATATTTATTGATATTAAAAGCATTAAGTACTTGCATATTTAGATCTTTAATTAATGTCTTGGAGGGGTGTTATTGTTTGTATTTTGTTGGTTTTTATACCCTATAAAGATCAGAAGAATTTGCCAGTCGATGAGGCCTAATGTCTTTAATTATGTTCAATGTTATAAAAGTGCAGGATTATCAGATATAATAAATTATTAAAAAATATAACTGGTACTTTCTGATTATCTACCTCCCCATGACCAATTGCCAACTCTTTAGTAATTTTGTGAATTAACAAAAAACCTTTTTTTTTTATCCTATGACTCATAGCTATTGTTAATTTCATAAATAATAATAATAAAAATTTTTATAAGGAACAAAGGAATTATAAGAAGAAAATCTTAATCTTTGGTATTACCTTTTTACAGCTAGTCATTATTGTTCAGTGAAATAATGGTTAAATCTAAAACATGTAAATCCATATGTACTCAAAAATGTGAATGTGTGACATTTATCGGTTGTGTATTTGAAAATTTTCCAAAAACTCTGGGAATTCGCCAAATGTTAAAACCAGAGTTGCGAATAATCAGAAAGTACCCTTAAGGCCCGTTTCCACTACTGCGTATGCGTTGCGGTGCGTATGCGTTTCTCCAATCAGCGAGCGAATTCACTTTGATTGACATCTGCAATCCGGTCGGTGTGCGGTGACGGATGACATACGGATGGAGTTCAACAATGTTCAACTTCTATCCGTATGTCTGCGGTTGCGTTGGGGTCACGTGGTGAAAAAGGAGCAATCAGGTGCAGTGACTAAAAATTAATGGCGGCAGAAGTAGCGATGAATGCTCGCTAATAGGGAAAGAATGTTTTGCTAAAAAATACTTATTTCTGAATTAACATTATAGCGAGAAATCTGCGTGCTGAAAATGACAGCAATCAGCTGAATTTAGTTTAAAATGATAAGAAAAACAAGATAACTGCAACTACAGTACTTGTTCATTCAAGAAAATCAGCGGCAAAAATTATCATTCCAAGTCCATGAAATAGCAAAATTTGTTCTGATAATCATTTTTTAGTTCTGCATACTCATTTAGCTTTAATGAAAATGAATGTCTGACTATATCAAACTGCTATAGCAAATTAGATATGATTAAAAGATTTGCTATTTTTTTCTTTTGAAACAGGTAAAAACTAAAAACGTTAATTATAAATTAAATTTGATAGCCTTTTAAATACTCCAGTTCATTGAAGAATATGTTAAATTTGTATTTCCCTTTATAAATATATCTTTTTGGATAACATATATTTGTAAGCACATGAAATATATTTTTAGCAGCCCGTTTAACTTCAATCGGAACGCCACTTTAAAAGATAATGATTTTTCCAAAAAATGTACTAGAAGCTGAAGAACAAACTCTGGTGAATTTTTCAGACAATAGCAAAGTGAAATAGGACCAAAAAACTTAAGTTTTAAGAATTGATTTACTTGATGATGTATATAACCCAAAATATGCATGCGACTTACGTGTAATCCTAGCTTAGTGGTAAAGCTGATGGTAACGATGTCCACTTTTTGGAGTCGTGAGTTCGAATCCCATACGCTTTTTGCACCATGTCTGCAACTTTCTTACCTTTTTATTCCAATTTGATCTATATTCGTGTTTTATAATTTATTTCTATTATTATATGCATTAAATATATTGTTTTATTTATGCTCTTATTTATTTAAATTTTTCCCGCAAAAAAGTTTGAAAATTATATAATACTAATTTAAAGCATATCCTGTACATATATATTTAAATTTAACAAACATTCTCTATTCGTAAAAAGCAAATTTAAAGTGAATTAAATTTAAATGAAATTTAATGCAAACAAAGAAATGATTAATTATTGCTGTGCAAGTATCAAAATGTGCAAGTATATAAATATATAATTCCAAAAATTTATTAATCCTTAAAAAATTTATAAAAATGCATAAGTGAATAATGGGATAGATTATTAATCCTAAAAAAATTATAAAAATGCATAAGTGAATAATAGGATAGATTATTAATCCTAAAAAAATTATAAAAATGCGTAAGTGAATAATAGGATAGCTTATTAATCCTAAAAAAATTATAAAAATGCATAAATGAATAATAGGATAGATTTAATCCTAAAAAACTTATAAAAATGCATAAACCGAATAATAGGATAAATAAATTTTTTGGAATTATATATTTATTCATGGATTTTGATACTTGCACTTGATTTACATATGCTCTCAGAATTTAAATGATATTGTATATTAGTTCGCGCAGCAATAATTAATCCTTTATTTGTTTGCATTAAATTTCATTTAAATTTAATTAACTTTTTAATTTTTACGAATAGAAAATGTTTGTTAAATTCAAATTTCATTCCTTGCAGCAATGGCGCAAGAGAATTATTTAAATTTAATTTATTTTGAAAACCCTGCAGATATATATATATATATTTTCGTTTCACTTTTATGTGAATGTATATACATGTGCTCAGACTTTGGGATGTTTACGACTCTAAACTTTCATTCCAATTAACATGAGACAGTATTAATGCCCTAAACATTTTTTTAACAAAAAATTACTATAATAATTGCTTTTAAATTCAGTCCTCTCCTGCAGAAGCGCAGGAATTAATTTAATTAAATATTTCCATTTTCTTTACCTAATGTGTGTATATATAAAGAGAAAAATCTTATTTTTATAACTTCTTGTATAAAAAGAGATATGAATTAAAAAATGTTTAAATTAAAAATAATATTTTATGGATTATGTATAAAATATAACTGCCCATAGTGCATTTTAAAACAAACGAGATTTCTAATAAATTATCCAGCTATGACCCTGAAGTCAGCGGTATACAAGCATAGCAAATTTTGCTTAAATATTGTGAACCTTTTCCTTACAGTTGCTCTGTACTTTTAAAGTACCAACTATTTTTAATCCCTTTAACTTTTTTATTTTATGTTATTTATTTGTTTACTTTTTCACTAACAGTACATTTTAGTTTTAATAATATATATATTATTTCATAATATTTAAGGCTTCTAGAAACACAAAAATTTTTTTTTAAATTTAGTTCAGCTTCTATGGAATTCGTGATGTTCATAATATGCATTATAACCTTACTTATCTAAAATTCCATATCAAATCCAAAACAAACAATACTCGCTTAAGGGGGAAAAATTCAGATGTTCAGCGTCGTAACTTGCGAACTGCTTGCGCCAAAATATTACAGTGACACCTAGCGGCGGAAAATGAAAATATTTTACGCATACGCAGCAGTGGAAATGCTTGTACGGATGCCGTAGGCGTGTCTTCAATTGACGCAACGCGTTCGTACACAGTAGTGGAAACGAGCCTTTACACTTACTGCCTTTGAATGTAGGAAAATGTTCTTCTAAACAGTGCAGCAATTTGTTGTATTGTTGTGTGCGTACGGGTTCGTTATGAAATGAATGCACAAGTCCGATGAAAAATGAACAAAAATTTATTATTATCACAACAAAAATGCTTAAATGTTCTCAAATTATC